AGAGAGAGAGAGAGATCTCATGCATTTAAACTGAGATTCCTATTTACAGCAATGTGAAAGCTGTTCTCTTTCTGTGGGAAGGGTGACAGATTTTGCAGTGTGTTAATGAGACACAAATCTCGCTCCTATTTTTTTATTTTCGCATTTAAATGATCACAAGTTGGTAGTGGTGGCTGCAGATGTTTCTTTAGACACCCAGTCCTCCTACTCAGCATCGCAAGAAAAAGGGAGGTACCGCCATCAATAGACTCTCATTCTGTATGTGGGTGGAGAAATAAATGATCAAGAGTTAATTTGTTAAAGGGATACGGCTAGGATTTTTTTTTTAAGGTCTTAAATGAAGTTCTTGGTCCCACACCTGTCCCTGAAACCACCTGCCAATGTTTGTGGCTTTACAATCACATTTTCCTTTTCAAAATTATTATAAATGATTCTTTCACCCCTTCTGCCACCGGAAAGCCCCACACAAATAACAGGGGAAACTGACTATACAGCGTGGGAAGAGAAACTGACTATGGCAAAATGCTGTCAGATGCACTAAGCAAGCATATAGGGAAAATAGATGTTTTTTTTCTTTAATCTCTTTCAGTTCATAGATTCTAAGTCTAGAAGGGACCCCTATGAATATAGGGATATAATATAATTATAATAAGGGTTACTTGTAATAATAGTAGGTAAACAATTTTCAGAGGGACGTGTGATTTTGTTTTGTTTTGTTTAGTTTTTATGTTGATGGTGTGTTTTTAACCACACTGGTGCCTCTGAGTGCGGAGATGTGGAATATCATCTAATCAAAGACCTAAATCCCGCAGTCCTTGGAACAAAACTCCCATTCACTTCAGTGGGAATTGTGTCTCAGTCAAGAATCAAAGGATCTAGAAAAGACCTGTTATGTCAACCAGTGCACCTCCCTGTCAGAAATGGATTATTATCTACAGTAAATTGACACCTCTTCATTTATATGGCCTTTTTTTAATGGCTAAGCTTGTCCTACTTGGTTTGTGAGAGTACTGCATAAACCTGATGTGTGTCTGCAACGCTGTTAAACTTGTTTGTGTAGTAGAATGTGAGAAAACTGAAAATATGAAGGCTGTTTGGAGAATTGCACTTATTGTTGTATCCACTTGTTGAACCACTTTTATTCTGCATGAAATATTGAATACTTCTATGCACAGATACAGATATGTATGTCTGTAGGTAGACAATATGTGTGTATGGATGATTGACAGACAGATAAAATCTTTTTATAAATAAGGTTCCAGTCAGAGTTTGAACAGTCTTTCCTTCTGAAAAATATTTTCGTATTCAAAATGTTTCTTATTTTTTTCCCCTAGTGCTCTCTGTGTAAAGAAAACCTTTAGCCATGGATGTATTCATGAAAGGGCTTTCCAAGGCTAAAGAAGGAGTTGTGGCAGCAGCAGAAAAAACCAAACAGGGTATGGCAGAAGCAGCAGGAAAGACGAAAGAGGGCGTTCTCTATGTAGGTAGGTGGGCAATAGAAAACAAATTGCTATTAACCTGTTTGCTTCTGTTTGCTGAACTGAATGATCAGTGAAAGGACAAGGATCCAGAGTTACCTTGCTATAAGTATAGAGTAACTCAATAATAAAGCTACAGCAATGGAAATGAGATCAGAATTGAGTCCTAAGTCTGGAAGTAAAACCTCTGTAAAGATGGAAATAATTCTTGCTAAATCCATTGGTGTGTCATTGCATTGTTGATAGCCACCCATTATTTTAGCATGGTGCTAAAACCCTAGTACCATACCATAGATCTGTGCCATACATGGCACTGTACTATAGGAGACACGTGCCAAAAAAATAACTGGCTCACTGTCCAAGAGCCCTAACAGTTTAAGGGCACACAGGCTGGTACAGTAATGAACAATATACAAAGACAGAGTGACAGGTGGCTTTATAACCAGAATGCTACTGAATATATAGATTTTAAGGAGTTTTATTTTTAAGAAAAAGTCAGTTAATTTGGCAATTTATCCAACCCTATCCTTCCTCACTGTATAAAGCAAAAAGGATTCAATAGTTGGAAGGGAATATAATCAGTTGTTTTTCAAGATTTTAAATAAAGATTCCTGATATTCATCATTCTGTGTACAAGCATCTCATTCCCTTACCTCCCTTGACTGAGTTTCCTTAATGGATACTTGTTACATTGTAGGCCCACAGCACCTTCCTTCCATGGATCGTGAAGGAATGACCACAGTAACCCTTTGAGATAGGAGAATTATTATACCGCACTTACAAATGGGAAAATTGAGAAAAGGAGAGATTAAGTGACTTGCCCATGTCACACAGGGAGTTTGTGCAGAGCTGGGAATAGAATTCACATTTCAAATTCCTATCCAGTGCTTTAACCACAGGCTTATCCTCGTTGCTTAGCAGGTTCCTAGCTCTAGAGAACTGTGTCTTCCAAAGGCTGTGATGAAAAATTCATAGGAAAGAGCCTGTAAAACACATGATGATTAAATGGTTGGTTAGTTAAAATAAACATATGCCTCTGTTTCCTCCTAATTTAAATTAGGTGATGGAAAAATGTGAACGAAATAATATATTCTTTTCAGTATGTCCTTTCTGTTTTTTCATGGTTTTATAGGTAAATACTGGTACAGATGCTGTGTGTTCCTAGGGAGATGTGCACAGATTTCAGAGGATGGTTGGAAACTGGAATAATTGCCTTGATATGGAAGTATTGGGTTTGCCACACACTCCTTTTGTTGTTGTTGTTTCCCCCCCTCCCCCCCGAATCCCAATACCCTTCCAGGTTAGCATTAGTTTTTAACAAATTATTTCTGCTCCAGATACATTAGACTACACATTTTAGCCCATCTTGAACATTCTTTTCCAGTTAAGCCATAGCAAATTCCATTCCCAGGTAAACACAGAAAGCAGTAATTTTGCAAACTAAATTTAAAATGAATATATGTTTCAATGTATGTAGGCATTTTTGCACAATTATCAGAATATCTTTCAGTATTTCATTGTCTATTATTAGTTTTCAGTGGTGTATGATTTATTTCCTTGTAGATCATGATAGCGCTTCCATGATTTCTTTTTATTAGGTATGCTCATAAAGTGTATGCTGAGTTAATCTTCATGCCTTTTCCATTTGCTGTGATACTAGGAATGCTGAAACCCAATCCTGCTTCCAGTGAAATCAATGGCAAAATTCCCATGGTCTTCAATATGCTTAGATTGTGAATTGTTGGGGTTAGGGTCTGTATACTAATAATTAATAATAGTGCAGGAGTGATCCCACACTGAACTGATTTCTTTCATAAAGGAAACAAACATATATGTAGTTTCACTGTAACAGGTAAGGAGCTACTGGCAAAAGATCCACTCTCCTTCAGCCCAGGAATGATGATAGCTAGTGTGTATTGCCTCTGGAAGTTCATCTTCCCTGGCTGGAATTGTAGTTAAAAATGTCAACTGATCTAGGTTGGCCTGATTCTCCTTCATGCCCTGATGTGAAAAGGGAAGCCATGTATTCCACTTTTTACCTACCCAGCACAGGGCAGTGGTAACTTCTCTTTTCTCCTGCTCAGCCAGATCAGAGGAAGAGGAGGAGAATGGCTAAATTCCTAAAGGATTAGTACAGTGGAACTCATGTATAATGAAGTGAAATGCATTGAAGCAGTTGAGGATTTTCATTCCACATGGCTGTATGTGGAGTTGCAGCTATAACTGGGTGCATTACAAGTGGGTTCTGTCATGCTACTGGTTGATACCTTCCCGAAAAGACCCTATTGAGACCAAAATTGAGAGGTTCTCGATAGTAATTTTTAAATTTCAGTAGTCAGCTAGTCAAGGACTCTTTGCCATCAGTTCTTGGGGAGGGATTAATGAGAAGCTAAAGTTTTTCTGTCCAAATTACCGCTACCTATTATTCAGAGCATAGTAAAAAAATATCTAGTGCAAAAAAAGATGGTAAGAGAATCCCATGGGAAAATATCCATTGTCTAGGAAGCAATGGAATCATTGTAATGGCTTAATCTTCTAGGGCACAAAGGAAAATTTCTATCTGCGGGTCAGAGGGCTACGAAAGACTTGAGAAAGTTTGGATTTTATTTTACTTATCTTCATCCTGGATGCCGTTCTCCTCTCCCATTGTTTCTTTCCTCCTTTCTTAGCACCTGACCCAATGTCCGTTGCAGTCATTGGAAAGCCCTCCCAGATGGGCTTTGAATTAGGCCCTGAGTTAGCTTTTTTCTTACCCTCTGTGTTCAGAGTCTTAGCTTGTGTGCGTCAGCATAGGTCCAGTGAAATCAATGGAGCTACATTGATTCACATCAGTTGAGCATCAGATCCTTCATAGTTAAGGTATAACATACAAAGGAACCATGCTGATTAGTGGTTACTAAGAGAAGGGGATTGGGATTCAGCAACCAAACCTGGGTTCTGGTTTCTGCTCTGCCACTAACTTGCTGCGTGGCCTATCCAAGTCACTCAGGCCAGATTGTTTAAACTTGAGTCCCATTGTCTTCATTAGAAGTTACGGGTGCTTTGCACGTCTGAGTTTAGGAAGCTAAATATGGATTACTTAACCATGTTTATCTTTATGCAAATTTCATTTAAGTGAGTAAGGGCTAGACTCTGATTTCAGTGAGACTGTGTGAGCAGTGTGGTACTACTCAATGCAAGTAAGAGTATTTTAATCTGACTCCGAGTATAGCTTTGATGCTCTGAATCTGGGAGTGCAGTCTGCTAATCTTGGCCTCAAGCTCTCACTGTCGCCAGGGAAAGGGATGGGGCTTGTCCGGAGATGGCGTGTGGCAGAGTGACGCTTTGTTGCTCTGGTTTCTCTGCTTGTGAGTGATCTTGGTGTAGGACAAAGTGCACCCCCCTCTGCAGCTTTAACTTACATTTGGCCTGGCTAGCTCAGTATCGGGTAGCTGGGAATGGATCCTCTCCCGGTCAGCTCCCACTCTCCACTGTACCCAAGCTCTGGTGTTCATATTTGTGTAGATTTGATCTGACCCTCAGCAGGTGCACGGCTACAAAACTGTACCTTCCCCATATTGTTTAGATCATAGAAATGCCTCTGCTGCAGCCTTCTCTCAAGACATATGTTGTTTGTCTTTGGCAGTAGAAAAGCTAGTGAGATAGCAAAGATATTCCAATTCTGTCTGTTGGAATAATGAGCAGCCTAATCCCTGCTAAAGTCCTTGTGGAAACAGTTCCCTATAGGAACATTCAGAAGCAGAAGCAATAATATCTCTTCTCTCCCGGGGGGTCATGCTTCCCTGTCCCCAATCAGCTGTTGCTTAAAGTGGTGCATACACCACTGCAGCAAGGGCCTTAGCCAGCCCTATATCTGAATGAGGCCCCAATTCAGTGACGTGCTGAGAATACTCGGCACCTGTAAAGAAGTGTTCAGAAATTAACGCCTTGCCGGATTGGGCCTCATAGCCAACACAGAAAATAGCTACTTAAGTTTAATAGTGCTGACAAATACTATTGAAATGGGAAGGAAGGGTGGTAGCTATTATTTCTCGACTTTTCATCCAGTGGTCCATATTCTGGCTAGTGCCTGAAAACAGGAGTAATGTCCACCCCCCGTCCTCCTATGTGGTCACATGAACAGTGTATACAGGAAAAGTAGTGTGCATGTGTGCCACTATTCTGCCTGAATTGTGTAATCTGTGCAGAGAGGCCATTGCTGAATCAGAGTGTACATGCAGACCATGTTTCTTGACTGCTATTTCATGCCCTTTATCACCCTTTCACAGCTCCTGTCAGACAGGGCATAAGGAGTGGCCAGAATAAAGACAGCCACTTTCCGTCATATGCGCCCACTACTGGCTGCAACTTTACTTAGGTGAGCCCCTGGGCCTCTCCAGCCAGAATTTGTCCCACAGAATTCAGCCGTTGTCCTTACAGGACCGTATTCTGACACTGAGCAATGCCTAAGTAAAAGGGAAGCTGTACTACAACACAGCACAAGTCAGGTATGAACATGAAGTGTGAAGCCAGGAAAACTGCATAGATAGCTGGCTACTATCTACTGCCAAGTATGAATTTGCTTATCAGAATCTGTACTTTGGATGGATCCACTGGCCAAACTCTCATGTGGGCAATGGGCCCACTCCCCACTCTCCATAGACCTGATTCTTTATCTCAGTTGTAGTAGTGTAAATCAGGACTAACTTCACTGAAGTTAGTGGAATTATACCTGTGTAACACTAGTGTAAGTGAGGTAAGAATCAAGATATATGGTATATTCCTTTCTGGAGATATCTGTGGTGGAGAATTCCTCTGTGAGGATTTTTTGCTGCTTTACCCCATCTCTCCTCACCCCAGTTGAACAGTTAAACATCATTACCAGGCTCTTATGTACTTATGTACAGTATGTCACTTGAAGGATTTAGCCCATAGTAGCTAGGGAGTCAATCCAGCAAGGGGGTGAGCGCTCTGGCTCCAATCCAGCAAAGCACTTAAGCATGTGCTCAATTGTAAGCACATGAATTGTCCTATTGAAGCCAATGAAGTGCTTTGTAGGCCCTTTCTACAAATCAATGGAATTGCTCGTATGTTTAAAGTGAAATGTGCTTTGCTGGATTGAGGCCGGGGCACCTATGACATGCAGGATCAAGCCCTGATGACCTAAGATGAATCCTTACACATTGAAAGGACTTCTTCCACTTGTTTTTAATCAGATAGCTCAGAAACCTTGCAATGATACCATCTGGAATGGAGAAAAATAATCTTGTGTTTTTCCTTGCACAAATTGAAGAATGAATATAAAGAGGAAAGGACACCATTTCTTCACCCTTTGTTCTGATCATTAGCTATTTACTTAATTTTCAGACAGAGAGACAATCTTCTCCAAAGTACCCCGGGCAAGTCTGGCATCTTCATTTTCCGGGCTAGAGAATGAAGTCATTTCACATGACACAAAGAAACCATTCATTCTCTCTCTCTCTCTCTCTCTCTCACGTGATTCTTATTCTGCTCTTACTCTTTAGTAACAAGACATTTTCAATGATGTAAAAGTTCATAAATCTGATAGTACAGATAATAAACCCCAGGGTTTAGGTTTAACAAACTGGCACCAGTAAAGTATGAAACATAATGCTGATGGAAACTGTGTGCTGTTCTACAATATTTACATTTATATTAGTGTGGTTCCCTAATGTGACAACTCTAAAGAATTATTGACCGTCTCTTTCTTCTGACACTAAACAAGAAACTTTATTAGAATAAGGAAAACAATGTTAAACCTAATGCTACTTTCTCGCTGCTTCACTGTAGAGCTTCTGCCTAGAATTTTCCCCAGATCCTCTTGTTTGGCTTCCTACTACAGATTTAAAGAAACAGTGCACATGCACACTGTTGAAAAGCCCTGTACATAAAATAATGTGCGTATACTGTGTGTGTGATACATAAAAATTATCCAGATTAATAAAATAACATAGCTAGAAGTCTCTAAATACTAACTCCTTGGAAAAATGTTTTCTTATATAATAGTGTGCATAATAAAGAAACTAAATGCTTTTTAAAATTTAGATCTCAGTACTGTCCCTCGAAGACCTAGTCCAATGGCATTATAAAGCTATTACTTTGGCTTCCATTGTATGTATCACATACCCGTTCTCTGCACTGTAAATTGCTAAGCATGGTAGGCCAGAGATGGGCTCATCCCCTTCACATATAGCTAAGTTATAGAATCAGAGACTAGAAGTCTGGAATGGAAAAAGACATTGAGGGTGGGATTTTCAAAAGCACTCCCTGTTTGGTTTATTTCTGCTCCCACTGACGTGAAAGGCAGTTTTACCATTGACTCCAACGGAAACAGAGCCCCTTTCCTTTCCAATGCAGGATTTTTCCCTAAAGAGCCAGGATACATTTGCATATGCATCCCAAAATTGGTTTGGTGTTTGTGGTTGTCACATCACACTATACACTCATGTCCTGTATTATATCTATTACTGCTCACTGTTATCTCTAGATGTCTCTCAGCATAAATGCTTTCCAGATTCCACTCTCATTAAACCATTTGTTTCAGATTACTTCCTACAGAAATATTAGCTTGCATTTTTCCAAAATGAATTTCATGACCATGTTTCTATTACCACTAGGCCCTTTTATATCATTTTCCAGCCCTCACTCTTTGCAGTTCCCCCTGATTAAGACCAGAGTAAAGACTGCAGGATTGGATTGTAAATCACATATGCTAACCTGGGTCCTGAGGCTACACAGCCTTACACACATGAGTAATTTTATGCATGTGCAACATTAGTGAAACTGCTCACATGAGTGAGGTTATTCATGTGCAAAAGTCTTTGCAGGATTGGGTGCTTACTTAACGAGCTGCTTACTAGAACACCTAACATGGATGCTTCCCCCACTCCACAACTCAAAACATGGCCACTTACCTTCACCCTTCATTGATGGTTTTCCAGGCGATCTTCAGTCCTTATGCCATTGCTTATATCAAACCCGATTTGAATTAATTTTAAGCATTTTACGAGACACTACGACGATTTATTAAAATCTAGCTGTGCTATATTTACTGCTTTCCCATCACCCACTCACTTGTACCAGTATTTGCTAACTGGCATTTCCAATGCTCATAACAAAATGATTTTTGCTTTGTTTAGGTTCCAGGACTAGGGATGGAGTTGTTCATGGTGTCACAACAGGTAAGCACACAAGTACATTATTTCAACTGTCTTTTTATCTAAATCGGATGGCTGATTTGTCATAATCTGTTACATGGGTTCTTCATCTTTGCACAGCCTCCATTATAGAGATTGACAGCCTAGTTTGGGCAAGTCTTTTTCTCCTTGAGCGTGGGCAAGGAAGGGCACCAGGTGTCGAATGTGGGAGAGGGTGAAAGGAAATGTATTTGGGGGATATGGGGTGGAATGGGATGCTTGTGTATCTGTCAGGAGGACTGAGACTCATGCTGCCGGATGATTTGGGGCATGAGGGTGTTGTAAAGTGGGTGACGGTTGGCCTGTGGGCTGGGATGAGAGTGCTGATGCTACCTGGGGATTAGGAACTGGGACCAACACGACCGATGGCGGGAGCAGAGGATGCAGAAGCTGGTGGTCAGGAGGTCACTCATATTAGGGATTGTGCAGAGTGGGAAGGAAAGGCTGTAGGAAAGTAGGGAGCATTTGAAGCATACAGTAGAGATCAGTGTCAGCAGTCAATGAGTGGTGGAGTGTTTAGGCAATGCTGGAGCTGCTGTGATGTATGCTTTCACCTTGTGCAGATCTACCAAGGCCCCAGAGGAGAATACATCTGGGGTCTGTATCACAGGTGGCACCTCTGCTTTTTGATCCTAGCCATGAACTCTTATTCTCGTACTGTTCTCAAACCTGAATGAGTCACAGGGTTTGAAACTCTTCCATGGCACTAGAGGATATGGAACTGGAGGATGGTTCTCTTTGCACCATTTCAATATATGAAGGGACACAGTAGAACTGAACTCATCGGGCCTGATCCAAAGCCTATGAAAATCAATGGAAAGAGTCCCACAGACTTCATGGGGCTTTGGATTGGGTCCATAATGAAGAGTGGAAGTGATATATGTCTGTAGAGCTATACCTGTCTGAATTTGTTTACAGCAGGTGATCTTGTGTTTGTCTAATCCATTTAATCTATCTGAAACTGGAGCTCTAGCTAGTAGCTGTAGGTAAAGGTGTCTAAGCGTTTACATTCTATTGCTCTGTTTTCAACTGCTCAGAACTTTACAAAACTGTTACTTTTTGGCCTGAAATTTACCAAAATTGGCCTCTTCTTGGGGATGATTTTTTTTTTCCCATAGAAATTTTGAGCAAAAACAGTTCAGCCATTTTTGAGAATAAGGAGAGGGGAAAATAACCTTTCTCACATTATTAAAATGATTGTGATTTTATTTTTAAGAAAAATCAGGCCTGGCACTGAAGTAGGCAGGAATAGGAAGCTAAAAGCTGGCAGGAAAATTGCCCTTTTTGGAGAAGTGCCTTTAAAAATCGTCATGAAATTTGGTTTGAATTTGTCACAGTTATGAAGATTTGAAAATTGTACTTTGCACATGTACAGTCTATTTCAACAACATTAGCACTTTACAATTTGAAAAATAGGCTTCATGGGGCATGCACATGGCCTTATTAGCTGTACAGTTTAAAAGTCAGTGAATCTGTGCATTGAATTGATTTGAACAATAACAGGTGTGGTAAGGCAAAAATCAGTAAGCAATATGGTGCAATAATCAGTCAGATGCAAAGTCAGTGAAACTCTCTGATATCCACACAGAGCACTTAGGACTTAAGCTTGTAAGCTGTTTGAAAAATCTACATAGTACACTGAATTCCATGCAATTTATCTTCTTTGGAATGATTGACATGGGGCATATTTGCACTGCAGCTGGGTGCATGCCTCCCAATCCTGGCAGATAGACACACACTAGGTCTAAAAATAGCAGTGAGGATGATGTGGCATGGGTGGTGTCATGAGCTAGTCACCTGACTATGGACCCAGGGGTACAGCGGGCTGCTACTTGGATGGCTAGCCTGTGCCACGAAAACAACACTACTATTTTTAGCATGCTATCTCAAGCAGATCTAGGGCATGTCTGTCTATGCATGCTTATAGGCATGCTTCTAGCTGCAGCATAAACATTCACTTAAAGGCCTGAGAAAATACCTGAGCAAGAATTTCAGAGGTTCTGAAGACCACTGTGAAAGTTAATAGCTCAGGGTACGTCTACACTACCCACCGGATCGGCGGATAGTGATTGATCTATCGGGAATTGATTTATTGGGTCTAGTGTAGACGCGGATAAATCAATCCCTGATAGCTCTGCCGTCGACTCCGGAACTCCACCATGGCGAGGGTACGTCCAAACTACCCGCCCGATCGGCGGGTAGCAATCTATCTATCAGGGATCGATTTATCACGTGTAGTGTAGACACGATAAATCGATCCCTGATTGCTCTCCCGTCGACTGCTGAACTCCAGCTCGGCGAGAGGCGGAAGCAAAGTCAACGGGGGAGCAGCGGCCGTCGATCCCGCGCCGCGAGGACACAAAGTAAGTAATTCTAAGGGTACGTCTACACTATCCGCCAGATCGGCGGGTAGTGATCAATCTATCGGGGATCGATTTATTGTGTCTAGTGTAGACTCGATAAAATCGATCCCCGATCGCTCTGCCGTTGACTCCGGAACTCCACGGTGGCAAGAAGTGGAAGTGGAGTCGACGGGGGAGTGGCAGCGGTCGACTCGCTGCCGTCCTCACGGCCAGGTAAATCGACCTAAGTTACGCCGACTGCAGCTACGCTATTCTCGTAGCTGAAGTTGCGTATCTTAGATCGATCCTCCCTCCCCCCCATTCCCCCCGCAGTGTAGACCAGGCCTCAGATAAGGAATTAAAAAAGAAAGAAGTTTGGGATAAGTCAAAGACTTTTTCTATTGCCTACTGCCCCACAGAGAAGCCTAGAGGAGATAAATAGCAGTTGATTGATGCTCAATTATACAAAGTCTACATTTTCGAAGAAAAACGTATTGGGAGGCTTATTTAGCTCTGTTTAACATCATATGCCAAATGAATGGTTGAGGAATAAACAAGGAGGGTGTTTTGGCAGCTAAACGAAAACTACAGCTAAGCAACCAGCTCTGACAGCGCTGCAAAATTTAGCCTTTGGACACATACTGAGGCATTCTGAGTTGGTACAAGTCCTTGATATAAGGTTTGCAGCCTGACATCAATCTAAGCTGTCCAGAGCTCAGTTAAGGGTTAACCAGAGGAAGAAAAGGAAACTCCACTTGAACTAGCAGAGGATCTGTGGTGACTTGTGTGTCTGATGTGTGGCGTATCCAGACAACCAGCATGGGCATCCAGATAAATAAGTGGTGGTGATGATGACAACTGGACTTGAACTTGAAAAGTCCAAAGACATTTTGTGAACCTATGGAATTTGTGGCAACATTAGAATCTTTTTGTGCAGCAGCCTAGTAGGGATTAAAGCCGCCTATCATGAAGAAAGTAGAAATGATTCATTATGAATCCTGTGAGTACCAGTCTATCTCTGATATTCATGAGAAAGGGGATTCCAGCTGGATGCGTTACACGTTTGAGAGGTTTGGGGGGGGGAAATGTTAAATTTTGTTTGTAAGACAAAGAACATGGACAATGATGCAAAACATAAGGGCATCAGTTCCGCTAAATGCTTCTTCAGTGAAAAAAATTGACCATAAAAGGATCATTATGAATTTTAGGCAAACCAGACTAGAACATCATAACTGACTAATGATAGGCCTCATTCAGCTCAGGAAATGGCTGACACCAAGCTGAATGGACAAGGCTTAGGGTTACTGATAGTAATTCCATAATATTTTTGTTTAATTCTGTGCAGCTAAGCTCCAGTAATGGAGTTGGGTTGTTGAATGTAAATTAAAAATATGAAATGAGTAGTAACTTCGTACAATTACAGTGAATAGAGCAAACTTACTACAAAAGCTGGAGAACACAGGTTCTAAAGTGAAGCAGTATAGTTTCATATGGAGTAAGTGACTAGAGAACTTGCTCCCTCCAGTACAAACTGGGGAAATTGGGTTTAAGAAATGAACCTTTGGTATCTGAACAATTGGTCTGGAAAGCAAAGACAGTGGGTGAATTCAGATGTGGATTTCATTATAGCTAATGATTGTATAATATATGCTAATAAAGTGTCTTGTAGACCAGTCCATGGAAATTAATCCTGATAAATCATGCTATTTTCATCTAAATGCATGATTGAAATATTAAATGTAATGAGTTGTGTCACCTTGAATTGTATTGTAATGTTTCATGTAACCCTGTGTTGGAACTACAGGGGAAGAGATTGACTATTACTTAGCCAATAATTCAGGCAGGCTGCCTTAAGTGGCTTCAGAGTGTACTCTCAACATTAGCTTCACCATGGAGTAATTCTGACTCTCAGGTTCCAGCCAAATAGCTGATACAGCGAATATCTTGATTAGCATCAGAAGGCTTGAGGCATTTCATATATATTATCAGCAGCGACTGCTGGGCATAAGATGGTTTGATTTTTATCAGTAATAGGGATGTATTATTGAGAAATGGCCTGGAGAGGACTGACGTTATAATCAGTCACTGCTGGTTGGCACTTTTTAGTCAGATTGCCTGCCTTGGAGATCAACTTGAGGGGACTTTGCTCAGCGATGGACTGGCAGCAGCCATGTGATTGTCCATGGTTAATTTGGCTGCACCAGATCTGCAATAACCCCAATGGGGCTTTTAGACATGTAGAATAAAGCTGTACAATGTGGCCATGGATATTTGGCACTATGGACCCTCGCTGTCTAAGTGTGCTGTTGCTGTATTACTGTGAGGGCTTATAGCTTAACAAGACTGCTACATAGAGTCTAAATTACTACATAGAGTTTTACATAGGATATGGTTTGATCAAGCTGATTAGATTAATTTGATATTAATCCACTTCATTCTAATTTGATTTGTTTATGTTTATAAACAAATCAAATAAACTTTTGTTTTGTTATTTAGTATAGATAGTAAAATGATATCAAACGGAAGCTTGTGTGGTTTGGATGGTTCTTCCTTAGAGTTAGGGTCCCTGAGAAGTTCCAGGGTAATAAAAGAGAGAACTCTTTGATGCACCTAGTGGTGGTGCATAGAACTGCCTTGTAGTCCTTATAACTGGTGCCTGAGCAAGAATCTTGGTTTTTGAGGGAAAATTGACTTCTGTATTACCCATTTCTTTCAATAAGCAACATGGGCTCCAGAAATTGTGAGGGCTTGGGATAGATAATATGAGCCCATCAACTTAAAGGATGACCAGTTCCCTGTAATCATATCAATACTCCTTACAAGCAGATAAGAGGAAACGCTCGCTCAGTCTTTCTCTGCTTTTAGCAGAGGAGGGGGTGTGCACTTTGACATCTTCTCCACAACTGCAGTTTGCTGCACTTATATGAAGAGATCTGAGAGATCATTGTCTCAGCACCTCTAGCACTGGTCTAATGCCAAAGGATGGGCCTCTGTGACTCAGTGGGAGACACCTAACCTGCTTAGGTGCTTTTGAAAATCCCACTTGATACATACCAGCATCTTCAGGCACATTTGTAAATCCGCACTAAGTGACTTTTAAAATTGGGCTTAAGGCTCACATACATGCTTTTGAAATTTTTACACCTGAATATTAGCTAAAAGCTATTCTTGGCAAACCCAGTATAATACTAACATTGTATTTCTGGGAGTGAACAAGCTTTGGGTGGCATGTTTTACTCATGTTCTGCAGAAATCAGCTCTGCTTATTGTTTTGAGATGTAAGCACTTCAAATGAATATTTGTCTCTGGAGAAAGCAGCTTTCCCCAGGAAAGCTATTCAGCAGCCTCTTATGATTGTCGAGTTCTGTATCCCAGCCCAGACTAATGAGTTGGCAATGGTGTCTGAGGTAGTAAGAGAGAAACTGGCAGATGGGGTATTCTCAGGCCTTCAATTGTGTGCACGGAGGCAGGCGCACATCAGGTTCAATGCTAAGCGTTATCATTTTCTTTTGCAATGTGTTTTATTCTTCTCCCTCTAAGCCAGCAGGATGCAATTATGCTGTGCATTTCTGTTGGTTTGTCTTCCTGTTTCTTTACATACACTAGGTGCTATTAAATATGGACCTAATGCAACGATTTCTCCTGTAGATTGTAACAACAAGCTGTTTATATTGTTCCACAGTAAACAGTAAATCTCTTTAATGGCACCTATTGTGTGTCTTCTGTCAGGTTAACCTTGATACTCTATAGTGAACTCTATAGCTACTCTTCTGTTTCCCATCTTTATTATGTGTGTGTATATATATCTCCTCAATATATGTTCCATTCTATGCATCTGAAGAAGTGGGATGTAGCCCACGAAAGCTTACGCTCAAATAAATGTGTTAGTCTCTAAGGTGCCACAAGTACTCCTGTTCTTTTTGCAGATACAGACTAACACGGCTGCTACTCTGAAACCCATCTTTATTATATATTTTATGATTATATTACTAAACCCAGTGACAGCAGTCAGATTCCTTGTCCCTTTTCCTTGTTTGCATGCATGTACTAAACCTTTCCTGAAGAGAAATGCATCCCTTTTCAGGAAAAGAAAACATACGCCCAGAGAGAAGGCTTTCTCAATACACTGTAACATTAGTAACTATAGTCAGTAGGTGATCACCCTTGCTATATATCAATTGTTATCACCTTAATGTAACCTAAGAAATGTGGTTTTAATAATGGCATTGTGTACGAGCCATTGTATATCACAACTGCATTAGTACATCTGTGGGGCCCCAAACTTCAGTGTATTTTTCCTTGTTTTGTCAGTGACACAGAATTAACTGGGCAGATCTTTAAATAGTGTAAATTTGCATGATTTGATTGAAGTCTATGCAGCTATGCTAATAGTTCTATTGAAAACAATGGAGCTATGTTAGTCAACAACAGCTGAGAATTTCGCCTCTTGTCTTCATCAGTGCTCCTGTTTTTGACTAGAAGTGGTCGAAGTTTTTAAAAATGTTTTTTTCAAAAAGTGCTTGTTTTTATAAAAATGCTAATGAAAAACATTAGACTTTTGGATAAAAATCAACACGACTGAAAAATCAAATCTGTTTATTGAGGTTTTGTTTAGTTGGTTTTGGATTGTGGTCCTCACCCACTTTTTTACCTTTCCTGCCCTCTCCCCCACCCCCATTTTGCCACTGGAAGGAGGAAAAAGGGGGGGGAGGGAGACAAATAACAAAAGCCTTTAAAATTTGTTCAGTTTTTAATTTCTTTATGCAAAAATGGAAAACTTCAAAATTTTTGTGATTCTTTTTAAATGAAACATTTTCAGACACGTTTTCCAAACATACTCACCATTTTTAACCAGCTCTGCTTTTGACAATTCTTTAACCCGTTCTAAATAATCTGGAGAGCAAACAGCTAATTAGTTCAGGGCAGAGAAAGTTCACTCAGAACTGTAGAAAGTTCTCTGGGCATGCACAGGTCCCTGCTTTGGCTGGAGTCTCTGGCTGGCTCCTCTCTGCCTTTTTTCCCCCAAGGCTACATGTACAACATTGTGGTCCTGATTCATGGCTGGGGCTCCTAGCTACTACTGCAATACAAATAATAACCATCAGAAAATAGTAACAGTCTGAAGTTCAGCTTCCCCCTTCTATTTTACTTCCACTGTCAGTGGGTATGACAAAGAGTTAAGAACATAAGAATGGCCATACTGGGTCAGACCATAGGTCCATACAGCCCAGTATCCTGTCTATCGACAGTGACCAATGCCAGGTGTCCCAGAGGGAGTGAACCTAACAGGTAATGATCAAGTGATCTCTCTCCTGCCATCCATCTCCACCCTCTGACAAACAGAGGCTAGGGACACCATTCCTTACCCATCTTGGCTAATAGCCATTAATGGACCTAACCTCCATGAATTTATCCAGTTCTCTTTTAAACCCTGTTATAGTCCTAGCCTTCACAACCTCCTCAGGCAAGGAGTTCTACAAATTGATTGTGCGCTGTGTGAAGAAGAACTTCCTTTTATTTGTTTAAAACCTGCTGCCCATTAATTTCATTTGGTGGCCCCTAGTTCTTATATTATGGGAACAAGTAAATAACTTTTCCTTATTCCCTTTCTCTACACAACTCATGATTTTACATACCTCTATCATATCCCCCTTTAGTCTCCTCTTTTCCAAGCTGAAAAGTCCTAGCCTCTTTAATCTCTCCTCATATGGGACCCGTTCCAACCCCCTAATCATTTTAGTTGCCCTTCTCTGAACCTTTTCTAATGCCAGTATATCTTTTCTGAGATAAGGAGACCACATCTGTATGCAGTATTTAAGATGTGGGCGTACCATGGATTTATATAAGGGCAATAAGATATTGCCTGTTTTATTCTCTATCCCTTTTTTAATGATTCCTAACATCCTGTTTGCTTTTTTGATTGCCGCTGCACACTGCGTGGACGTCTTCAGAGAACTATCCACGATGACTCCAAGATTGCTTTCCTGATTAGTTGTAGCTAAATTAGCCCCCATCATATTGTATGTATAGTTGGGGTTATTTTTTCCAATGTGCATTACTTTAAATTTATCCACATTAAATTTCATTTGCCATTTTGTTGCCCAATCACTTAGTTTTGTGCGATCTTTTTTTGCATATACTTCCTGCAAGCTGTCCTTTATTACCTAACTTGTTAATAAAATTTTCTAATGGAGACACTTGTTTGTTTGTTTTCCCCCCAGCTATTGTCTGTTGATGTTGTATAATCGCTTATAGTAATCTGTAGAATGAGCCATTTGATACAGGAAGCTGAAATTCTTTCCATAAGAAATTGAAGGAATCTAATTGCTGGAAAGAAATGAACATTTCCAAAAGAAGAGCAGTGAGTTTGTGCACCACTTGGGTACAGCTAGATCTGATTTCTGTTATTTTACTGGTAAAATTGTGGGTGTGGATACATCTTGTGGGCCAGATTTTCAGAAGAGCTTAGAGACCATTTGGACACCGAAATAAATGGTCAGATAGACTTTCCAAGAGAAGCCGCCACATTAGATGCTGATCACTTTTGAAAGTCTGACCCTTGTTTAGGTGACTAAGTGGGAGATGAGCTCTTTTGAAAATCTGGACCTGTATCTTTAAAGCATGGAGTCATATGGTCCTAATCCTGCTTTCTAGATTGACTTCACTACAGTGAAAGCTGCTGGTGTGGGAGAACCTTTGGGAGTGAATGACCAGAAAGATCACTGTAAGACTCCACAAGGCAGAATGGAGAACTATTGATGTGTATGTAGGGTAATTGTATTGCCGTCTCCCTAGAGCCATGGATCTGGCCACTAGTTCAGTTTGCTCTGATAGCTTTGGTTTGGTTTGTATTTATTTTTTGTGTGACATGGGCTTAAAACCCCACATTGGAGTAAAGATACATATAAACCTTTGAGAACGAGGCCTTCAGAATGTTACTCACAGGCTGAGAAACAATGACTCCTGTTTATTAAGAAGATATTTTTTTTTAAATCCTGAGAAATTAATAACTGGAATTTGACTAGTTTACTGAATTGTTTGTGATTAGCAGTAACATACAGTCAGTGTGTTCTGTGAACTAATCAAAATGTGGTTTTTGCATTGCATTGAACGTAAATGTTATGAAATGTAGATGGGCATAATAAAGGGCCTTCTGCTAATAACCTCTGTCCCACACAGTACAACCTGATAACTAAATGAATGAATGAATGTGGTCAGTAAAGCCTTACCAAGCAACAACAGTTGTGCCACAAATAGATCCTTAATTCTAGTTGTGCTACCACTATTTGTATGATCAAATGATGATGTTTCATTGCTTATGATTCACTTGGGATGTACAGAAATTGTAATGGTCTCACTGTCTATCCATTGATGCTGCACTGTCGGCTTCTGTATTAATAAGCCACTTTATCCTCTCATTCCCTGACTAACCTTCATCTCCCAGTACTGTAATGTATTGTTAATCTCTTGCTTTTCTACAGTGGCTGAGAAAACCAAAGAACAAGTGTCTAATGTCGGGGGAGCTGTGGTGACGGGAGTGACGGCAGTAGCGCAGAAGACAGTGGAAGGAGCAGGCAATATTGCTGCAGCCACTGGCTTAGTCAAGAAGGATCAGTTGGCCAAACAGGTTTGTGTTAGTTACCAGATTTTTATTTTTGAAGGTGAGGAAGTGACCAAATCAGTGGGGCCTCTGTGAATCCACCAGTGTAAAGGACCTGGGTGGTGGTGGTAGCTGACTGCAGGCGTGTACGTCTGTCTCTTGATCTGGTGAGGGGCATTTATGTAATGAGGTTTACACTGCTACATGAATGAGAAATGAAGAAGCAAAGGGCTTGAGGAAGTTAGGAGCTTTAATGGGAGTTGAGCTGGTAGCTCCTTTCTGGTTCCTTTGAAAATCTCAGCCTACAAAACATTAAAGTGTACATTAAGGATGGTCCTGAATGCCTTCTGATGGGTCAAATTAGAATGCTGGAACTGTATGTCATGGCTGCCATTTTGGGGATTGAACAAGTGACCTCCAGAGCTAAAAGCATAAGCTCAGGGGGTCTCAAACTGGGGGTCGGGACCCCTGAGGGGGTTGTGAGGTTATTACATGGGGGGTTGCGAGCTGTCGGCCTCCACCCCAAACCCCGCTTTGCCTCCAGCATTTATAATAGTGTTAAATATATAAAAAAGTGCTTTTAATTTATAAGGGGGGGTCGCACTCAGAGGCTTGCTATGTGAAAGGGGTCACTAGTACAAAAGTTTGAGAACCATTGCATAAGCTACTACAGCTTGAGTTCAAGGGCCAACTCATATCCTCTGTGGATTGGGCACAGAAGGAGCGGTGTAACATATGCTCACCCGTTAATTACATTGGCATGCTCAAACGTTAAGAAAGTTTTGATCCAAATCTAAATTTTGCAGCAGACTGCTACCTCCGTACCTATAATAAGATGAACTCAAAGCTGCCTCTGAACTTCTCTGACCTCTGCAGGTCAGATTCTTTTCTAGCGTGTTGTGTAAAAATAATTGCAGTTATTTTTGTTTCAGCCCGGAGGCTGCCATTATCAGTTGTCCTATACCACCAGTTCCCATATTTTGGTATGTGATACACTGTCATTATATTTCTGTACTTACACCAGAGAAAAAGCATGGTCTCAGATATCAAAGCGTGGTAACTGTTGGTAGATGATGACTTCTTAATGACTATCATTGTGTATATCGATCTCTTGGGACAAAAACAACCAAAAGACAGAAGTAAAACAACTCATGTTATGTATTATGCACAAATATTTTTAAAGTGATAGAAAAATAGGAGAATGTAAAGAAAAAAGCATTTGCAAAAGAATGGATTTTAAATGTAGGGCGTTACACTGCACTTAGACTGAATAAATTGCTGTGTAATTTTTTCCCCCATTTAATAGCAAGATAAGCTGTTAAAATTGAATTCTTTCCAGTAGCTCTTCTATATCCTTACTATCTGTTTTAAGACAGACAGAAATGCACTTTAATGAGTCTCTTTATTGTTTTAGAAAAAGAAGAATTACACTGCGAGTGGGCATTTGTTGCATAGGAGTAGGTTGGTCTCAAAACATCACATTAGTGGTTTTGTTAGTTTTTTCAAGCAATTTTCATGTTTTATTTTTCATCCTTTTAAATTCAAATGTAAAGAAAATGCTGTCAAAATGTGTCCCAGGTGCTTTCTACAAGCTGTTTTGTAGCATTTAGAAAATTAAATACCTAATGAACTATCAGGGGAATGAGATGAGTGAAAAGTTATAGAGCCCACGCCCTTATTTTCTGCTAAGTTTTGTTGTATCTCTTCAGTGGCTTTACAGAGAGAATTGCATTCTTTGCTGTTGGGTAGATCTTGGAACTTGGAAGCATTCTATGCAGTGTCGTAGGCCTCAATTTTATGACTGTACATGATTACCGTTTCACTCTTAGCCACTCCTAATGTTTGTGATTCCTGACTTTTAAAATTATAACTTTAACATTACATTAATCTACAGTTATATTTCTTCCTTGTATTTCTTTTTAAGAAAAGCACTACTCTGTACTGATTTTACTGTCTAATCCCACTTTGCATAGTGAAAAACTTATATAGCTATGAAACTCATTAGCAATAACAGAATAAAATCCCAACCATAGAACCAAAGAACATCTGTAGTGTATATTTATATTATTCCACAATCCTATAAATAGCATAATAAATTCTAAGCGTAGTTGAGATTTTGTACTTTGAATGTGAGAACCAATTTTTCTGTTTCTTACACTGTCATTATTTATCCATTCCTATTTATTTAGGCTGAGGTTGTCAAAGCCCTCTGGGCCTCTTTGGCCACCCACCCCATTAGCATTCAAATCTCTTAGGCAGCTTTGAGAATTTCTGCCTTATTGTTTTCGCAGAAGAGGAGCAACCATCTAGAACATAGCAAGTTACAAAGTTCAGCTGTTTAAAATATTTTTATAGCAATGTAGGGCGGGGGCTTCTCCTGTGTATAATACAAAAATGAGTGAATGGATTTTGCTCAAATTTGCCAGGTAAATTTACATTTGGGCTGAGGACAAGAATGGAACATTTCAGCGAAAACTGAATATTTTTCAAATAGCATGTGTCTGAGCATATGAAATCGGGGTGTACATTGGACATTTGGATGTAACTTTAAGTAGCGTGTGTGTGTGTGTGTGTGTGTGTGTGTATATATATATATGTGTGTGTGTGTATATATGTGTGTGTGTGTGTGTGTGTGTGTATATATATATATATATATATATATATATATATATAATGTCCAGTGCCAGTTAAGTGGGTTATAACCCCTGTTTGGTGCCCAGTCCATAACGAGTAAGAACTTTCTACTCTTACTAGTAAACTAACTCCTTTAGCTCAATTGTTAGAAGTCTGTGCCTTTGTGTCCCAAGCTTCTCTCCTCATGGATGACTGATAATCAGGGATGTTACAAAACAAATGATCTAATATCCCTGTGTGCAACGTCCGAGCTTGCATATTGCTCTCACAACATTACTCATTTTGTAAAGCTAGAAATTAAACCATATTAATTGGAATTGGACAGAAAGAGGGTAATGAGCTGGGGTTCCTTTGCACACTTGAATCCAGGATGTTTGCTAGTGTGGTGTCACCTTCTGAGTTTGCTTCCAACTTTGTGATAAATTGTGTCTCCCAGTTCATGTTGCCTAAGCGCTTAGGCACAGATTCTGCAGATGACAGCATGTGAGCAAACTGATATAGGCTCAGAGGGACCCCATGTGAGCACGGCACTATGCCCACACATTTTCAATTGCAGGATCAGGGCCCATGAGACTGATGTGATCAGCTCTCTATAAATACCTGACTGCAGGACTAAAACCGATAGACACTAATATCTGTTTCATGTGACTGCTCTCTGAGGTTAGGAAGGGTTTTTTGTTTTTGATGATCTTGAAGTATAAAGCAGGATAGAAAAGAAATATCTCTGCATTACCAAGTCCCTCTTATTTGAACTGTTTGGACTTGATTCCCTCAAGATTTACAGTAGCACTTGTGAAGGATTATATCACTGATTAACCATTTCACTAGTTAAGTTATCGCTGGCATTATTCTCATGAGTGAACAGCAGTTTAGTTGTGCCTTTCAAATTCCTTGTTAGGGAGAGGAATCATAGGCCTAACAGAATGTATGTGTGTTCATATGTAGCTGCAAGACTACTTGTGGTATAGAAACTCTGGTCAGATGCTTGGGGAAATGCTTTCTGTGTGGGCTACATCCATCTGAAGGTGCTAATATTAATAATTAATAATACTTCCGTTCCTTCTAAGAAGTTAAAAACTGGCTGTGTATCATTCTACATGGCCTGGGAACATGAGAAGTACTGTTAGTGCTCTAACTGGAGACCAGACCGGAAAGCTTCTGTTACCATGAACTGCAGCCCAAATTCTAACAACACTATATACCCAGGCAAACCTTGACTGGGAAGTGGTTTAGTGACAAATCAAACTATGGTTGACAGGGCTGATTTGTTTATTGGCAGTTTCAGTGCTGCCTATGGGTTTTATGATTTGGAAGGAATTTACTTGTGAATAGCAAAGCAAGAAGTGTCACACTTTATATTAAGTTCATAAATAATTTTAAAGGGTTAGAAAATTATTAGAAAATGTTTTAATAAATGGTTAAACAATTCCTATAGACGGTTATACAGCCAAAAAGGTCAGTAGGTTGCTTATAATCATTGCCTATTGCCATCCACGTGTATATCATCTATAACACATATTACTCATGTAAAGTGAGAATGAGAAATCAAGATGCTGAGTTACTGAGTTCTATGTTTGGCTTCAACTTTTGTTTGGTTCCCCCATCTGTGTGCTGTATGAGTCATGTTTGGTAATAACTCTTAATCTCGTAATGATCAAGGAGAAAAATGGAGAAAATAAGATAATTATATTCACAGTAAGAGAATATGCTTTCCCTGTGTAGAGAAAGCCATCCAATAAATCCCTTAGGTGTCTGTTTGCTTCAGTACACACCGCATGTAGCTCCCATTAGCATCAAGGGGAGTTAAAGAAGGAGTACCATGGAGAGAACACACTAAAGTTGTGGTTTTTAACTTGGCTGATGTTACAGCTCATAAACAAATCTCAGATGCATTTTATCTCTAGTAAAAGTAGTGATGATTATTTATGTTGTGATTGCATCCAAAGGCCCTATTCAAGATCAAGACTCGCGCTAGGCGCAGTATAAACATGTGTTTAGACATGGTCCCTGCCCTGAAAAGCTTATTGTGTAATTAAATAGACTTGCATGCCTTCTCCTGAAGGTCTCTAGTTTTTTATATCTGATCGCTTGTAAATCCCACTGTAGAACAAAAAAGGCTTTCCACTTTCGACAGTGACTCTGAAGTGGCAGGCGGAATTGTGCTTGTGAGTCTATCAATACAGTATGTGGGGCTGGGTGATATAGCTCATCAGTGTAATTACCATGCTTTCACTGCAACTAGGTACACAGGATGATTTTAATCTCATTTAAAATGGATAGAAAATGCCAAAAACTGATCAGCCAACTCTTCCATGCATTCGCTTCTGCTGACGATGTCAAGTAGTTTAGGCTCAAAATTTGACCTACAGTAAAGTTATTATCTCGGGGAAACT